GCCAGCGTCCCTTTACTTGGCACGGGCAGAGCTCGCTGGACGGGATGGCTCTTCCGCTGCCCCGCAGCCTCCACGCCGATGCGCTCTGAGCCTCTCAGCCGGCGATCCCGACGGAGTTCCCATCGGTCGGGCTGGGGTACCCTCGTTTCTGAAAAACCAGGGAACAACTCCAAGCGTAGCTGTTCTAGGGGTGGACAAGTTGGCAGGCTTGGGTTCCTGTCCAGCTCTGCACCGTAAGGGTGTTAAACAGAATAAAGTTGTGAGCGTGCTGTTCCTTTGCTCCTAGTTTCCGTCATGTTTTAGCGTCGTGCTTGCATACAATCTGTTATCAGCCACAAGGATGTTTGTTTTGCTCATTTGCGTAGTTGATTTTTTTATTTTATTGTTAAAGGATTTATGAGCCAACAAGGTGATAAAGCAGGCAGTCCTCAGCCAAGATCAGCAGTCCCTGTACTGTAACTGTGTCTAGATTAGGGGTGAAGAGGAGGCTTCGTAAACACAAGTAATTCACAGTCTGTCTTGGTGTTGTTAGTCAGCTAGAGGGGATTCTCCCCCTGTTACAAGGAAATACTTGAGAATGCTAAATAAAGTTAAATAAAAATTAAGTAACAGCTGTTACATGCAGACTCTCTTCATTCTGTTGTTGTGCTTATGAGGTCAGCTTATCATTCTAAATAGTGTGAATCCCCTAATAAGGCTCCTACTTTTCGGTCCTGGTCACTGCAGCAATGTATAGTTCTGCTCTACTTCTCCAGGTGGTGTGACAGACCAGACAGTTTGCCTTCAGTACCTCTTGATGGCCTTTTGTCTATCAGTTGCTGGTTAAACATTTGGAATTTTAAAATACTAGTATTGCAGTTTTTCTTGAATGCTTTCTGCACCTTGGAACGTAAAGAGAAGAAGCTTCTCCTCCACGTGAAAAACACTTTTGGCATTTTCCTTTATCTTCACATTATTACATCTGTAATCGCAGCCCTTGTGTTCTCAGATGCTTGCATTGTAGTAACTCACATTGTACCTCAAGAAGATTTGAAAGACACTTTTCATGCTGATTTTTCTCTTGCAAGCACAGGGACTGAAAGTTTGCTTCCTGTAGTATCTCTTGTCCGTACCAGCCTTTGGCATAGAGTATGAATTTGGTTCTCCTTATGTAAAATGATAGAACACTATATATGCTTTAGTCTCTCTATCATAATGTAGATGACTATAGCAGAATTTCTATTTGCCACATTTCTGACTGGAAAAAAGCCACAATGCTTTCTTAAGTGTCTATGGACACTTTTTATTGTGTTAATATTTTATTTTGCACTTTACTTTTTCCTTGACGTGGGCCTGGCATTCCCATGTTGTTTTGTTTTGTTCTCTTCACCTCTGTTACACAAAGGGTGGTAGAGTTTGGTTCTGTTGTCAGGTTGAAGCCTGAGTGTTCCACATGTGCTCTGGGTGAGCAAGAAGAGACTTGAGCTTTTGTAAAAAAAAAAAAAAAAAAAAAAATCATTAAATGAAACATACGGACAACTTTTCTGTATTATTTCTAATACTAACTGCCAAAGGTGTGTCTATCTTTCGTGATTTTCAGGCTATACAGTTGCACAAACGTGAATTAATTATTTTTATATTGCCTTACCTTACAGGTTGGCTTGCAGTCAGCTTTGCTAATTCTTCTAGGGAGTTAACTCTGCCATCGGAGATGGAGTACAGGACTCAGCTACCACATCCTGAGTGACCAAATCCTTTAATACAAAATGGAGAAGAAGCGTAGAAAGAAATGAGCCTGTTTGTTAGGCTTTACCTCAAAAGACCATGAAATCTCTACTTATTTTGGACACAGCTTTAAGAATATCCAGTTGATCAGCACAGTGAAAGCAACGTTTACTGAAACAAAAATGAACTAGTATATAAAGAAGAAAATTGTGATTTGAATATATGGAATTTTTGGAATGAAACCATTTTCTTCTATGACCATGAAGTTTGCAAACATCTGGTTTGTTCTGGTTGTTATTTTACTCTGTGGCAAAAAACACTTCGGTACCAGACTAGGGAATTCCTCTCATGAGGCTCACATATGTTCTGGATGTTCTCGCCTTACTTTGAAAGTGGAATTTACTTCAACAGTCGTGGAGCATGGTAATAAAGAGTTAAGCAGTGAAAAAACAATACCCATGTGAAATTCAAGTGTTTGTTACTGATTTGTGGTGTTTGTACAGTTGTAACATTCAGAGTTTCTGTAGAAGCATATTGTCTGCTAAATTCTGTATTGAAAAAGAAGCAGATTTTTTCAAAGGCTCTTTGTTTAACTGGAGATAAGATCCGAAGGACAGGAGAAGGAAGAGAGGGGGAAATAAACAGGATGTTAAAACTGAAAATGGAGTGTGGAGGCTCAGGTGGGCAAGTCTGCTCACTTTGGTGTGTTTAGTAGCTGTTTGTTTTGACCTGGCCATTGGTATGGTTGAGGCACTCCTAGGAAGTGTCACCATGTGGGCCTTGAAGGGTTGACGAAGGCAAGAAATCTCTGTGGATTTGTTCAATAAAAAGTTTGGAAGCGATAATACATGCATGGAAAAATTGCAAAGGTAATTGTGAAGGGAGCAGATGAAAGGCAAAGTGAGGCCTTGACACCCTGTGTCCACTTACTGCCTCAGGTACACGTAATGTTTCCACAGTGAAGCTGTGTGTGTGCCTGGGTGCTTACAGGCACAATGTGTGTAGTGACATTTCTGCGCGTAGTTAGCCAAAGACTTCCTTTGGTGAATGTGGTGGTGTGCACTGGGGCTGAGGTCCGCTCACATCACTAAGCAAGACCAAGGACTGGACTGCTGGGACCAGCTTCATTCTCTGTGCGTGTTGTACTTGATGTCAGTAATTTGCAGTAAAACTCAATGCCGTATAGAGGCTAGACATCTTTAAATCATACATGTCAAGAAGCATATTGGCATATCAAGCAGTTGTTTGTGCTGCTGGATGTAACAGTAAGTCTGTTACCTCTCCCCTGCTCCCCCCCATTGTTTCACCTTTCCATGATATTTACAAAACTACCTTCCTTTCAAAGTCTTTTTTTCATATTTTGTAAGTTTCCTGATTGGGAACAAAAAAAAAAAAGGCATTACATAGTGCAGAAATAAATTGCAGATTTCTAAAAGCAATGAAAAAGTGCCTCAAATAGTGATTATTTGTTCTGGATAAAGAAAAAAATAACTATTTGGACCTTTGTGATGTGAATGCATGAGTAAGCTGCTTAAATATCAGTTCTGATAAGTTGCACTCTTGTTTCAGAGTATATTGTGGCTTTTAATGGATACTTCACAGCTAAAGCTAGAAGTAAATTTATTTCAAGTGCACTAAAAAGTAGTGATATTGAGAACTGGAGGATTGTACCTCGCAACAACCCAGCCAGTGACTATCCTAGCGATTTTGAAGTCATTCAGATCAATGAGAAACAGAAAGATGGAGTACTGACACTGGAAGGTCATCCAAACATCAAGCGTGTTACACCTCAGCGGAAGGTCTTCCGATCGCTCAAATATTCAGAGTGTAAGTGCTTTTCTGTGTTGTTACATGAGATCTGATTTGGAGAAGTCTTCTCAGCCTTATTTCAGGCCATCACCTTAGCATTAGACAGTTGAGAAGTGCCTTACAGTTTTTCTTTAATTTACAGAAATCTGTTCTTTTGCCTATAAAATTATCAGGGTCTTGCCATACCTTTGCTAAAGCGTGGCAACAATTCCATCTACAATGTAGAAACATTTCTTTTGCAGCAATCAGTTACCAGAAACTGTGGACCACTGTATCTCTAGTGGATTAAAAGGAAGCTTTTACTGATTTGGCTCAGAGAAAATGGATGCTCACTCATCTAAAATTTTTGTTGTAATAATATGATGTGTATATTTGCATAAAAAGCTAATCTTTTGTGGTTTTCCTTGTACTGTATTTTCTTCATCCTTATTCTGCATAGCTGATCCAGTGTTGCACTGCAATGAAACCAGATGGACTCAAAAATGGCAGTCGTCTCGTCCCTTGAGAAGAGCAAGTCTTTCTTTAGGTTCTGGCTTCTGGCATGCAACAGGTCGGCACTCGAGTAGGCGTTTGCTGAGAGCTATCCCACGCCAGGTTGCTCAGACCTTGCAAGCAGATGTCCTCTGGCAAATGGGTTACACAGGTATGCTTTTGTCTGGTGGGTTAGAATAATTACCTTCTTTGAAAAACAAAGTGAATTGTGAGGAGAGGCTGATTGGCTTCTATGTGTTAATCTGTCATTGGGTGCCAGTTCTGGAAAGATGTGAGAAATACTTTATTTTGAGATGCATTGTGTACTTACAGAGTGCTCTTGTGTGTGTGTGTACTTTACTTAAGATAAATTGGTCATATGTGGTTGCATTTCTGAATCGGAGTATCTTTTCTTTAAGATCTATAGCTTACTGAGCTTATAAATTGCATGCTACATTAAGCGTAAAAGTTTTCTTTGACTTGATAGAATAGATTTGCTATGAAGCTGATTCAGGAAAAGCAATGCTTTTCCATTATAGGTGCTGGTGTAAGAGTAGCCGTGTTTGACACTGGTCTGAGTGAGAAACATCCACATTTCAAAAATGTAAAGGAGAGAACAAACTGGACTAACGAGAGAACCTTGGATGACGGTGAGTTAGTGTGCACAATTGTCCAACTATTCCTGACGCGTTCTTCCATTGTAAAACTGCCGTGGCTGCTGTGGTGCTGACATCTGTTGAAACCGTGTATCTTGAGATTTTAAGCTTAATTTTGCAGTGTCCTGGGCACTTTGTACTCGTACAAAATTCAAAATTCAACAAAGAGTATTAAGGTTTGCGGAGGGTGTTGCGTAAGTCTCCTTTGAATGATATGTGGTGTTTCATCATAGCATTTGAAAAACATTAGGGCAAGAAGATATTATGCAGGCATAAATACATTGTCAGAGTAGGTGGAGGTGAAAGCAAACCCCACAAAGCTGTTCTTTTTGCATTCTTTTTTATGTATTCTGCTGCTTCACAGTGCATACGTACTTCCATAGTTATGAGGGAGAGCATTTTCCTTCTTTTACTGTGCAGTCCTAAACTAATCAGAGTTCTGGCACCTTCCTGTAAAGTTTTTCTAATCTATATAGTTTTCATCAACCAACGCTATGCTGGCTCATGCCCATCAACATTCAAAAGAACTTTTTAATTTTGGTGGTATGTTTGTGTTCCTTTTTCGTATGTTGACCCTAACTTGCCCTGACCGTATGCTTTCACAGTTTATTAACTTCGTACAGTCTGGATCAGTGAGTCAGCTGGCAGTTTAATCCTTTTAGAATTCAAGGTATATGCATATCTTGCTCAGTCTTGTGTGTACCTCCGTAGTTTTATCATGTGTACTATTTCTTTGCATTGCAGCACCTGCTTTTTGTAGCACTTGCTATTAGTTCTGTGCCTGGATGGTTGCTGGACAGGCAGATTTAGAGTACAGAACTACAAAGCAGGCAGTCCAGTAAAGCAAAAGCTAAATTTTTTTTTGACGAATGGAAAAAAAGGGTTTTCTTGTCTCATTGTTCATCCTTAACATATGGTTATTGCAGAGTCAGGATAAAAAGCTTTCAAGAAATTTACATAAAAATACATTGGCTTTGTGACTTGCATTTTCCAAAATCACATTTTTCTGTCGTGATTGCTTCGTGTGGCTCTTGATTTCATTGGTAGCAATCAGGAGTGGATAGACTGGAGAGTGTATCAGTCAGTTTCATCAGCTGGTTGTCTGGCTACACAGTGCTGGAAATTCTGGCCCCACTGAACCCGGTAGCAAAATGTGATTCAAAAAGACTAGGACTGAACCCAGTGTTTGTGGTTTGTTGTAAAGTCTGATAGATTGATGTGATTTTTGGTATAGGCAGCGTTTAACAGTACAAATCCTTCACAATGAAGTGGTTGGTCTTCTAACATCTTACTTTGTTTCCTTCTCCCTGCAATAGGTTTAGGCCATGGGACTTTTGTAGCAGGTGTCATAGCCAGCATGAGAGAATGCCAGGGATTTGCTCCAAATGCAGAACTGCACATTTTTAGAGTGTTCACCAATAACCAGGTAACTATTTTACTTGTGTTTCAATTTCTGCCTTTCCAGATTGATGCTGTATTAATCCTTTCCTTTGGGAATATTGCAAGTACTTGTAAATGTTGACATATTTTCTTTGCTAAGTGAGAAGGTTTCTATTTATAAGTGACTTACTGCAAGATGTCTTACAGTTTTCAGAAATATTTCAGAAATAATGTGTGGAAGTCTGATCTGTGTAATATTATAGCAATCACTGAAATGTACTGAGCACTAGAAATACTAGGAGACCATTGTCACTTCCGTGCTTTATTTTGGTATTGTTTCTTCTCTTTGTCTTGAAGTCTGTGTTGTCATGGAATCACTGGATTTTCCGATGATAGCTGTTTTCCCCCTTTGTCTTACACAGGTCTCATATACATCTTGGTTTCTGGATGCCTTTAATTATGCAATTTTAAAGAAGATAGATGTATTGAATCTAAGTATTGGTGGGCCAGACTTCATGGACCATCCATTTGTTGACAAGGTTGGTACGAGGAAATAAAGTTGTCATGGTGTTTATATCCCTCACATGAATGCTGGACTTGCAGAGCTATGTGTTTGCCACAGCTGCAGACGGTTTCTGTGGAGTTTCAGTTGCATGACAGAAATTTTGTACAGTGTACAGGCTTTTACTAATATATTTAAGGAATGGATTAAAAAAACCCGAACACATCCCAAATATTCATAGAGCTATGGAAGCATGCCCTTTTACAAAATGATGTATGTAGTGCTAGGAAGTGTGACTCCCCAGCAGGCAGCTAAGTGGGCCCTTAATAGAAGAAGCTTAACTGAAATCCACCCTTGTTTTTGTTTTTGTCATGGGTTGAGACTGGGCCGGCCACTAACAAATGAC